CAAGCAAAGAGGGGCAGCTGTAATACCCTAATTATTTCCGGACTAATTAAATTCGTTTGAAGCTAATCGAGAATTAGTTTGAAGATATTTGTGCTCGATGAGAAATTAATTCGAATGACATGAGGGTGTTGATGAAAGATGAATGGAAGCTTGCATTTGGGTTAATATGAAATCGAGAAGCTTTAGGTGCTGAATTGGATTGTAATCATATTTATTTCATTTTGGAATTCAAGAGATAAATTGGAACAAAAGCAATCGATAAAGCAAAGCGATAGAAATACGAAGACTCTTGAGGTACATTCAAAGCAATCCAGTGGACAGTGTAAGTCATCCATATTGATCGCCAATTGTGAACATGTTACAAGCATATTTGGATGAGGAAGTCTTCTTAACAATTATTCCATCATCTCTTATATTTCCAACGCACTTTGAATCAAATCAATCCGATATTGGTATCTCGAGATATGCCTAAATTAATGAACAGAGTGCAGGCTGGAAATAAATACGGGATTTACAACTAAATGCAGAACCATGTGATACCTGTTGCATTTCCATGATTCATGAACCCATTAATGGCGTGTAAACTCATCCAAGGGGGCTAAAGGAGCACTTATAAGACATATACATTGGAACAACTTGTTCAACACTTAGAAGACAAGCACATGCACTGCAGCAACATAGTGGAGCACCTAGGAGACAAATCCAGCTCACCAATACAGCAGCAAGGCTATTGGAATATGGCACAAGTTTGGGCAACGTGTTAGAGCACTTTCAAGACAATTCAAACTCACACAGCATGGCACAATAGTTGTTTGAGCATAAGGACATGTTGGACAGCGTGATGAAGCATTAAGGAGACATGGACAAGTCACCAGCTTTGGTCATTCATAACAGAACGTGGGCTGCTTCAAACCAGTTGGAATTGCACAATAAGAACACCACCAGCCCTTGTTTTGTGGAGGGGGGACACTCACGCATGTTGGAGGGATTGGTTTCCACCAATTTGAGAAGGGTTCGGTCATTATGATGAAAAAAAAGGAAAGAAAAGGAGCAGCAATTAACATGGGGAGATCATCAACAACGGTTCGAAACTAGCAAGCAAGAGGAGGAACGAAGAAATTTAATCAGGGGATTTTTTCGAACAAAGGGGAGGGAATTACATTGTGAGCAGGTTAGTTGTAACATGAAGAAGAATGTAATTGTTCTCATTTGACAGAAAAAAATACAAAGCTAGAATTCGATTTTCAAAGCTATTTTTTATGATTTTTTTTTTCATAAGTTCTTTCCTTTCATTTTGACATCGTTTCCATTTTAAACAAAAATCATTGTTGAGAGGGTTCAACGAAAAACACAAAATAGCTTAAAATAAACCAATCAAAACCTATCGTCGTTAGCCACTGTCAAGCAAAATCAAACCAAAGGAAGAGAGTAAGCGCATATCTGGTCTGTTCGAGTGCCATTGAAGGAGAAAACCACTGCCGTCGGAGTTGGGTGAGTATATGGTGAGTTGTTTGCACCCTTTGTATGTCATTTTTTTGGTTTGGTTACCATTTATCGGGTTTTCTAAAACAAAAAAAAAGAGATGGATAAGGGTTAGGTCCTTACCTTAATGTCACGGGCTCCCATGGCCGGATTGGTGGTCCTTAAGGTTGAGAGAGTTAGGTTTAGGGTTTGGAGTTTTTGGTGAAGATGTTTAAGGGTCGGTTTAACCCCTTATCGGGGCCGTGACGGGGTGGACTGTGATGGCCTTGAGTCTTGTAGTTATCTCGGTCGAGAGGGGAGGAAGATTGAGAGGGAACAGAATATTCGTGAAAGCTTTAGGTTCTGTAGTTCTCTACGATTGATGGCCTGCCATTTGTGTTGAGGGAGAGAAATCGAAGAAGAGAGTAGGGTGAGAGGCTCGCCGAGCGTTTGCTTGTCGAGAAGAGGGAGAGTGTGAGATGGGTAGAGACAACGACGCTGGGGAGTGTTAAGAGAGCAAATGAGAGTTAGGGTTAAACTTACATAAATTTGGTATATATTTGTGCATTAAAACTGCAGTGTTTTGTTACCCCATTTTGCGCATGGATTAATCACCTTAGGGGTCACGCAAGGTTTCGTTTTAAATCATTTTAATCCTAGTATCGAGTCTTTCATATTCTTAATTTGGCTACTTTATTTTACTCGCATTTAATTCTGATCCTACAATGTATTGTGTTTAACTTTCGCTATTTTAGACATTAGACCTTTAAGTTTTACATGTTACATTTTAGACCTTAATTCGAGTTTTCTATGCTTTTAATTTAGTCTTTGTATTTAGTGCGTATTTAATTTTAGTCCTAGAATGGAGTATAGTTATTTTTAATTTGTTCTTTATATTTTACGAGTATTCAATTTTAGTCTTGAGTGGTAATGTATTTAGTTTCTGTTCTTTATACATTTGATTTGTAGTTTATGCATGTTTCGTTTTAGTCCCTAGGTCAAAGTTTGCATGTTTCTAATTCTGTCTATTTATTTTATGTTAATTTAATTTTCGTCCTAAATGTCGATTTGTTTCATTTCTGTTGTTTAGATTTTAGACTTTAAGGTTTTTGCATGTTACATTTTAATCATGCGGGTATGTTATTTTAAGTTTCTGTGATGTTGCATATTTGGCATAGCATTTTCCCGATTTTTATTTTAGTTTTATAGGTGGTCTCAGTTTTACTTTGATCTTAGAATATGTCCTGCATTGATAGGTTTTTTTTTGTGATCTTTGTTTAATAGTGATTTTAGTTTTAGATTTATTTACTCATTTATTTTAATCGCATGTTTAATTAATTTTTGCATGACATCTCTTTTGCATAATTTTCATGATAGCCTCATGAGCATAACTCAAAATTATTACATAATTTGATTAAGGGTAATATCCTTTTAATTTAAAATTGTTTTAAGTGGTTTGTCTTAACTGATTAGATATTGCTTCTAATGATTTTAAATTAAAAGTGTATCCCATCAGTGACACCTATGAAATTGATTCATCACTTTAAAATTTGGGAATGGAAGAAAAAGAAATGTTAGGCTATTTAAATTTATCGAGAAAAGATTATTATAACTATTTAAGATATGGTCTCGATATTTGTAAATAATCGAATATTCTTTATCTTTCTAAAGGTTGGGTAATTTTAACTTAATCAATTTTGGTGCTTTTGAATATAATAAAGTTCGTATGTTGTTGTTTTGTCGAGGATCATAAACCAAATTAAGCTCGAATTTATAAATTTCATTGTAAAGACATTAATTAATCGACGAGGTATCGATTTAGGGCACTGTGGGGTGTTAATCATTCCCTATGCGTAACCGACTCCCGAACTCATTTTCTGATAACGCGAGCCTAAAATTGTTGTTTTAACTAAAATTAATTTTTATTTAAAATGACAATGTTTTTGGGTGTTCAATCACACCCTAATCAAATATCGGTGGCGACTCTTCGAACCTATGTTTTTATCGTGAATGAATTCCCAAATTCTCGAAACGAGAGATTTTCGATTGCTCATCGGGTTTTAAATGTATACACCAAAAGGCTGTTATCACCATCTTCTTCACCAATATCTTTTCATCATATGTTGCATACCCCAACTCTAAATCGTCTCCTCGATCAAACCGATCATAAATCCACGACGGAAAGTATTCTCGACTGGATTGTTCAGCAAACGTATTCAAATTCCTTCTCATTCCTATGATTTCCAATAACAACAACCCGAAACTATAAACATGCATCAGCCTTATAAGATACGCCTCCGTTGTTTTGATAAAATAATTCAGAAGCAATGTATCCGATCGTGCCTCGAGCCGCAGTTCGAGACACGGTATTTTCTTCTACTGAATATAATTTTGGGAGTCCGAAATCTAAAACCTTGGGAGTAAAAGTCTCGTCGAGTAGAATATTGTGTGACTTGATATCGAAATGTAGAATTTGCATGTCACATCCTCGATGCAAGTAGTCGATCCCTCGAGGCACTCCCAACAAAATATCGAACTTCTTTTGCCAACTCAAAGTGAACTTATTTTCTTTTGCGAAAATGATTACAATAAGTTATAAACACAAACTACATAGTTCAATAAAATAAGTACATGGTAATTAGTATATCCACAAATTACATATTGTCGTACTAATTTAAAGTTCCAAAAAAAATACACCATCATTAATCATATTATAAAGTTCGCCTATAATAATAGTCTAATATTTCATCAAAGTTTTAAAGATAAATCTTTTACAAACATAAAATAACTATTATACTTTTATTTTTCCTGAAAATATATATCTATAATTTAGTAACGAATAACCGATGGTTAGTTTATTAAAATCCATAATCATAATTATTGACTGTCACTTTTAACAGTTTAATTAAGCAAAACTGATTAGTGTTAACAGTTCGATTAATCAATCTATAAATTATAACGATTACGTAGATTAATAGTTACAATTAACGATTTAAGTTAAATCAGAAATGTTGAAAAATTCTTAAATATCGTGAAATGTAAGCTTGTAACATGTGTTATTGTCTTCTTTCCAAGACATCCCATCAATAGTCTTTGGTAGATATCCGATGTAGACCGGCCTCTGATACTTCGAAACATAATCGGAACCTGAGGTATGACCGTGCAGGATTGATTAAAATCAGGTGGCTTGGTTTCTTCATCTAAAAAATATAAGTAGGAACTAGTTGGATTGGTGCTGCAACAAGCTCGTGAGGCCTCGACGTAACCAGCAGATTTCATCGGTATCGTGCAGTTCACGAGAAACATGGTGCTGAATTCACGAACAAAGAATCCAGGCTGATACGGGCCTGCACTCGGAAAACCCAACCGATACGTAGAATTTTCCATGTTCCAACTCTAGAGTGGTGAAGTTATTATTGTGGCACACGAGCTGAAGCCTTTCGTCACCACACCTGCGAGGCTGGCCTTTTAATCGAAAAGGGTGTCGGATCGAAACGTTCCCACATGAAATAGAGCCACAATCGTTTGTTCATCGGGCAATGCCGGGTTGGGATAGTAGAAATAAAGAAAGGACGGACATTAGGCCTAGCAGGGGAAGCTCTGGTTTTGGCATAGTAAGAGTGATACCGAGGCAGATGATTGATGAGAAGAGATGTTGTAGGTTAACAAGTTGAAGTGTTTTATTGACTATTCTATGTGGTGTTAAATGAAAAGCAAGCCTTAGCTGAATAGTCCAAGACTCAAAGTCTATATTATCCTGCCATATTAATCTTAGATGAATAGTTATATTCAGCAAAGTGAGAAACAAAAAAACCTTCAGGGTAAACTACATTAGTCATCACTTTTGTTTTATTTTTCTATTATTTTGTTCACTCAATTTCTAGAATGTATACTTTACCCCCCTTAAATTATCGATTAATTACAAATAGTTGGGAATTATTGAAGATAATATTGGCAAGCTAAATCAAAAGGAAAAAGAAAACAAATACATATACTTACGTGGAAAATTCTAAATTACTAATTATGCAGAATTGAAACAGAGGGACTAAATTACTAATTTCTAAATGTAGAATCTAAAACTGCAATTAAACTGAGAGAAAGTATACAAGGAAAAAGAAAAGTACAATTAAACTGAGAGAAGTAGACGTTTTTCTTATGGAAAATCTGTTAAAGAGAATATTTTAAAAAAACAGAACCCCGCAGAATGAGGAACTAGTATTGTTTTGCTGTTGCTGTTGTTTTACTTTTTCTTTCAAATCTTTTTCAACAAAATGGAAAAAATTTAGTGTTTTCTTCCTCCATTACTGCTCTCACTATCTTCATCCAGGTAAGAATTCATCATTATTATTTTGTACAATGTGACTTTGAATCCTATATTTCCCAAACCCATGTTTCTTTTTCATATGATCAAACATTTTGTTTAAGAATCTTTAACATCATATGTAAGTTTTAATAAAGATTTTTTGTTAATGTTATGAATGTTTTTAGTTGCTGTTGTTATGTGGCGTTGAATTGGCATGTCGAACTGATCAAGGGAACCCTACTGTGTTTTTGCACTGTTCTGGTTTTCATTCGAAAGCTGAAACCGACGACATGACCGAAAGGCAGTATGCAGATGCATCGTCGAGGTGTTGAATCTTTGAGTTGATTTTCAGGATTCCGACCGGTTTCCGCCTTATAACTTTCTTGTTTGTTGTTCTCAGGATGTCGAAATCTGCATCGTCTACGGGATTGGAAGTTCATGTAGGAAGTATGCCTTTTTCCCTGGACAAAGTGAGCAATGTTCCGAGACTACCTTCATTTCATTAATGATTTCTCCTTTTATTCATTGACATTGTAATTTTGGATATGATCATTACAATCTAGGAACTTCTGGCCTCAAAATCAGCTAAAGTTGCTGCCTTGCTTAAAGAGAATTCCAATGCAGATCTATATTGCTTGCTCCGTGACATTCCGGCAGATTTGGAAACTTTCGAGCTCGTTGCAAGATTCTGCCATGGATATGCAATTCACATGTCCTCTGAAAACATTGTGCCACTCATCTGCCTGTCTTTCCACTTGGGGATGGATGAAAATCACTGCAATAACAATCTATTAAGCAAGGCTGTTACTTTCTTTGAGCAGAGAGTCCTCCCTAGTTGGAACGAAATCATCAAGGCTTTGCGCTCGTCTGAAAAGTCCCTTCAACAAACGATGCAGCTCGGCTTATTCGATGCCTGCTTGCATGCTATGATTGCAAAGGCATCGGACAATCCACAACATCTAGGGGAACGAATAATCGTCTCGAGAAATGATGGTGATGGCGGTGAAAAGCCCAATGCAAAGAGGAGGCTCTTTGCTCTTGACTGGCAAGAAGATTTGACAACATTGTCTCTGCAGCTATATGAGCCTATCATTTACACAATGAAACAACACGAAATCCCACCGGAATACATTTCCGCATCGATTTATCGGTATGCAAAGAAGTCTATCTTTTGTTGCAGCAGCGGAAGGGAGACTGTGTCGATTTACAAGAGGAGATCTCAAAGAAATGTAATTGAAACATTGGAGAAGCTTTTGCCACATGGAAGAGAACTACTTCCTTGCACATTGTTGTCCAAAATGCTCCGATCTGCAATCGAATTGGAAGCTAGCTCGGGATGCAGGAAAGGTTTCGAGATAAGGATCGGAAAGCAGCTGGACCAGGCAAAAGTAAAGGACCTATCGATTCCTTGCCAAGGCTATGCCAAGGAAGTGCAATATGATATTGAGTGTATAAGGAGGATTCTGAAGGAATTCTACGACAATTACGATAGCTCCGATGCTCTGGGATTTATCAAGGTGACAGAACTCATGGAAGAATTCTTGGCAGAAGTTGCTTGTGATGCAAGTTTAGTGATAGACACTTTCATTTCCCTTGCAGAGATGTCCAGGGCAGCAGCATTAGGAACAAAGAGAAACTCTGACGGAATATACCGAGCCATCGACGTATACTTGGAAAAGAATGCTTACTTGACAGACAAGGAGAAGGAACAAATTTGCAAGGTGTTGGATTTCCAGAAAATGTCAGCCAAGGCTTGCGAACACGCTACCAAAAACGAAAGATTACCGGTGAGAGCGGTGGTGCAGGTGCTGTTTATGGCACAGCTGCAGCTGCAGGAAACGACGGCGCGTGCGATTTATGACGACCACAAATCGGGGAAAGAGTACGAGGAAGAAGAGGAAGAAGAGGAAGAAGTGAGGCTGGAAATGGAGAAAATGAGCATCAAGGTGAAGGAGCTTGAGAAGGATTGCCATGAAATGAAGAAAGAAATCACCAATGGAAGCAATAGGCAAAGAGTAAATAAGGGGAAACAGAGCTTGTGGAGTGAAATGAAGAGGAAATTTGGGTGCTCCACTAACATGGATGACTTGCATTGCCCTACCAAGAAAAAGAAAGTGCATCCCAAATGGGGCATCATATGATTTACCATTCCTCATTTATTTTCCATATTTTTGTTGTTCTGCTTTCATTAGCATCCTCCAAATCTTCTTCAGTTAAAGTAGCACTTTTGTATTTCCTTATAGCTTTTTTAACATGTAATTTAGTTAGCAATTTATAGTGGGTTTTGTTGAGCGTCGTGAAAAACTGAAGTTAATTTATAGTGGGTTTTAACTTAAAATATTATCATGCTTTAACTTATAATGTTACATTGTCTACCCTAAAAAGTTACACAAATAATAGCAATTTCAATTACAATCGAGAAAGAATGTAATTCCATTTGGTTCCCTACATGTTTACATTTGGTTCCCTACAATATGGATTTTCAAGATTTATTCTTGGTGTAGACACTAAATTTTTACCCGAGCAGCTCCCTCCATCCAGCAGCTTCCAGCGAGCAGCCCCTCCACGCATCAGTTGCAACAGCTTCCAGCACTGCCAGGTGATCCAACGCCCTGCTGCCACGCTGAAGCCTCCAGAAGCCAGCTGCCTTGTCCACGTTGCTACTCTATAGTGAGTCACCACCATAGTTCGGTGACTCACCGAGGGCCATTCCTTTAACTGGTCCGAAGAAGACACCGACGAGGCCTATAAATGGCCATCTCCTGCAGAGAAGAAAAGGAGAGGAAAAAAAAGAGGAGACACAAAGCAAGAACGAGAGAAGACAACCAGCAAAAACAGAGAAGAAAAAAAAAGAACGGAGAACAAAAAAAAAACCCCCACAACACAGCAAGGAAAGGAAGGAGAGAGACTTACCGTGGAAGCCACCGCCTTGATCGGAGTCACCACCGGCCTCTAGACGTCACCAAAAACCTTCGAAAACCGAAGGTATATTCTTAGATTTGCTCCGATCGGGAGCTATTTAAAAGAAAAGACCACCGGAACCGTCATTAGGACGGTCCGATCTACGTTTTAGTGTAAAAAAAATTATTTCGGCCACCGAAGGCGGTGGCCGGCGGCAGGATCAACGCCGGCGAACGGCTGCCGGCCAGAGAGCTTCTCTCTGTTTTAGAGAGAAGCGAGAGAATTTGCATTCTCTCAGAGAAGAGAGAGAGAAAAAAAAAGAAATGAGAGCTGGCCCTTCGGGCCAGCCGATTTTGAGCTTAAATAGCCCTTCCCGAACGACGTCGTTTCGGGGATGGCTATTTGTGTAATTTTTAATTGTTAAATCCCGTCCGCAACCATCCTAACTTGTAATCTTTACATTTTAGTCACTAAATCAAATTTATAATCCTTTTAATTTGGTCTCTAAATTTTATTTATTTATATTTTAGCCCTTAACCGTAATTATAAATATATTTAGAATAAAATACGTATTTAGTCCTTTAGTTTTAATAAATAATATTTTAATCCCGAATACATATTTTTAATTTATTTTAATCAGATATTCGAATTTAATATAATTTTATTTTAGTCACCAAATTAATAAATAAAGAAAATAGCATGTTTAATCCCTATAATTTTAAATAATTAATGATGAATTAGGTATTTAATTTTATTAGATTATAATTTAGTCACTAATTTTAAATATTTTCTTTTATTATAAAGTTTTATTGCTTTTAAATATATAGTTCTACTTGTATTTTTATTATTTTTTATTTATGTTTTAATTTTACTTGTTTATATATTTAAATATTATTTTTATTATTATTATATAGTCATATAAATATATATATAATAAATAATAATTTATATTTTTTACATAAATTATTTTTTATCATATTTTAATATTTATTTATTTTTCAATATCGAAGAAAAGGGCAGTCTTAAAACAACTGGATGTTCATTTTTTGATATTTTTAAATAAATAAATATCTTATTTTATAAATTATATATTAATTGTTTTAATTATTTATTTATTTTTTAATATTGAAGAAAAGAGCTGTCTTAAGGTACCTAGAAGTCCTTTTCTGATATTTTTAAATAAATAAATATTTTATTTATAAATATATATAAATTAATATATTTTTTCATAATCATAATTTTGAAATAATAGGATTATAAATTAAATATATTTTGAATTTTTAAATTTCTAATAATAGAGACAATTTATAATTAAAAAGTATCAATTTTGGGCGTTGTAGGGGTGCTAATCCTTCCCTAAACGTAACCGACCACGAATCCCTTTTTATTATTAAAAAGAACGAATTTTTGGTTAAAACGCAGATCAGTTTATCTTTTAATTGATGTTTTCTTAAAAACTCTTTTAAAAGATATTTTTTAGGTATTCGACCTACCTGACCCAAAAGGCCGATGGCGACTCCCAAATTATTTTCAAAACCATTTATTCACATCAATTTTCCCGCCAAATAAATATTTCGTGTCCGGACGAAAACCGGTTACAACAGCTTGGCGACTCCGCTGGGACCCAGTCAAACTTTAAAATCAATTGTAAATTGTCTCTATCAGTTAGAAATTAAAAATGCATATATTTAATTTTTAATTCTTTTCTTTCAAATTTTTTATTACTTATTATTTTTATATATTATTATTTTTTTATTTTATTTATTCATTATATTCAAGAATTAATTATTTTATTTGTTTGTTAGAGGTTTTAACATTTCTCCTCACACACAACACTTGCATAACATAAAGCTCTATAATTGAGTTTGTCCCTTTTAAGTGGGAGTGAAAGCGACGTCTTCGTGAGAATTTATTCTCCGTGTCAGACCTAGCAAGTAACTTTCGGGATTCATATGCTCTATGTTTTCGTGAGAATTTATTCTCCGTGTTAGTCATAGAGAAATTTATCCCCTCGAATTGAACTTGATCCGTTTAAGTCTGTAATGGACTAGGATTGAGGGTTTGATAGCCCAAGGGGGCATCAACAAGGACAGTTCGAGTACCTATACTCCTAGAACTGAAAACCTGCATATAATAAACCATAGAAACTCTCCCGATCTGAAACCATGCCGAAATTTTGTCAGTAGGTATACACAAAGGAGAAATAAGCTCTAGCTTTTAATTTATTTATTTCCTTTTCTTTTTCCTGAATAAATGCATGTGAACTAGAAATCGTGCGGTTAGGTTAAATTTTCCAAACAAAGCATGGAACTAGAAAGCATGAGGTTAAGATTTATACCTTGATAAATAGATTTTTTTCCCATTAGTTAGTACTAACTATTCTATTTTTCTTATTTTTTCATGCATGTTACATTGCTCTAATCTGTTCATATTGATTTCTTTTGTTTGCATTGCATGATCATGACATAATCAAAAGGTGTTGACTTGAAAGACTGTTCATCAAATTGGAAAGAAATCATAAATGGACAAAAAGTTTTATGATCAAACAAAATATGATGCGGCCAAGGAAAGACATCCTGAAGAAACTCTGAAGATAGAAAGGAGCAATGCACACAGAGATCCTGTTATATTAATACCAAAAGTACTCCACAAAGATTCTGCCAGATTGATACCAAAAGCAGTCTATGGTAAGAGCATCAGTCAGGGCATTCAGAGTGGAGGAGGTTTTTATGAAGCTCAAGCATGTTATTTGAAGGACTTGAACGACCAAAACAAGAAATTGAGCACAGAAATGAAAACCATGCAAGAAGATTTTCAGAAAATCAGTCAAGCTTTTCAAAATGCTGGCCTAGGAAGCACCCCAAAAGAGTGGGTCACAGGGGTCACCAAGCTGAAAAAGAACTGCAACATATATGAAGATCTTGTTCAAGAACTTCTTGGACAGAAAGGATCTCTTACAAGGGAAAATGAGAAACTCCGAGAAGTGACACAGAAAATGAAAGAGAATGTCATGGAAGAAGTTACAGTCCAGACAAGCAATATGTCCCTTAAGTTGATAGACTAATTTGGCTTTGGAGAAGTTAGGAATGAAATATATCCCTATATGTAAAGTTTTGTTTGATGCACTGAAACTTTTATGTTCAATGAAATCTGTTCTAAGATGATCACTCTTGAGTAACACCTTTTCATACTTGCATTTGTATTTTGCATTTGTACATTTTTACGTTTGTATTTACATTTACATTTTTAAACTTACATCATGCATTAAAACATATTTAATTAAATAATAATGTTTATTTATTTTCAATATCAAAGAAAAGGGCAGTCTTAATATAACTGGATGTCCTATTCTGATATTTTAAATAATTTACATGTTTACATTTGCATATTTACATCTGGCATCTTTGCATTTGTATTTTTATGTTTGCTTTTGTATTTCAATTTGTATTCTTATTATTACATTCACATATTTACATTTGCATTTGGTATCTTTGCATTTTTTTATGTCATAATACATTAAAACATTCATTCATTAAAATAAGGATTTCAAACGAAGTGATCTTGGTTTTTCCTCGAAGCAAGAATGCTCAGCACGACACAAGAAAAATGTCTAAAGAAACTGAGGATAGGCTAGCCAAATTTGAGATAGAGCAGAAAGAAAAACAAGAGGAATTAAGGAGCAAGTTGGCACAAATTGAAGCTAATATCACAAATTCTCATATCGATCTACTGAACAATATCAAAGAAATGATTGAGAAGCACCATACAGCTGGAAAGAGTCTTGTTGAAAACCCCATAAATTCTTTGGGTGTTACACCTGTTCATATTCCTGAGTTCACCTCTGTACCCCAGGAAATTCAATCACCGATTTACTTTGCTGTTAAGAACTCACCATATCAAGCTGGAGCATCATTCCCCATTGATTGTCCTACTACTTCTGAGTTGAAGCCTGATGAATTTTGTATTAGTAATGAGGTCCTTGACCTAAACAAATCAGTTGAGAAGGAAAAATTCACTCAACGACTGGAAAATATAGAAGAGGTGATAAAATCTATAGAGACAGTTAAGTCATTTTATGGGTTTGATGCCAAAGAACTAAGTTTGGTCCCTGGCCTGGTTATTCCACCAAAGTTCAAGGTTCCAGATTTTGAGAAGTATAATGGGACCACATGCCCTGAATATCATATCACTATGTATTGTCGTCGTATGACTGGCTATGTAGAGAATGAAAAGTTGTTGA